GTGTTCTCAGGTGTGTGCTGAACATCCACCCCAGCTTGCCTGGTAGCCCTCTGACTTTCAGCTGATAGCCCCGGCTGATGGTTGCGTCATGGTACCAGCTTTCACTCCTAGTGTCTTAGCTTGTATGATGGAATATTCGCCCACCCTGTCCATAAGCTAAAAACGATGTGGGACTATGTGAAATATTTGTAGACCCGCAGATGGAGACTCTGCCCTCACACAGGAGTCCCTGGGGCACACACAAGAAATACATAGCTGGTTCCAGTTTGCTCAGACTTCCTGGACTGGAGATTGGTGGGCTCCCTGAAAATGTGGCTTCTTAAAGTTCTTGCTATTTCCTTTCTTCTGTAATAAGATTGCTGAGGCTCCCAAGTTCAGTGGAGGCTTAGGGAGGTGTCCCTTAAATTGATTACATCAAATGTATGCTTACTCCTTCTCTTTCCTTCTCTTCCATCTGTCTTCTCAAGAAAACTGGGCGAAACCAGTGGCCACGGTAGTTCTGCCAGCCCAGAACTATCAGAAAGGACTCCAATGGAAGCAGTAACTGTCCATGAGTCTCTGAATATATGAGCCTGAAAGGGGCACTTCAGTTGTTCACTGCCTCAAATAACCTGTACATGTTAGGGGTTGGGTATGTACACACATGTGTTTGTCTGTGCACACCAAGCACGCAAATGTGAAGGTCAGAGGTTGGCATTTCCGTGTCTTCTTTTATCACCCCCAATGTTACTTTTTGAGGCAGGGTCTCTCACTGACCTGGAGCTCACCATTTCGGCAAACCTGGCTGGCCTGTGATGTTACAGGTGTGTACAGCCACATGTGCTGTTTACACACATGTGCCTTTTACATGCATGCGCCTTTTACACGGGCTCTCGGGATCTGAATTCAGGTCCTCATTCCTCTACAGCAATCGCTGCTTACCTATATAAACCTTGGGGAAGCGTGTAGACATTTTCAGGATGAGTATACAGCATTGGCTGGGGCTGAGGTGCTGGGAATACTTCATTTGCATGGAGAGGAATTCCAAGTGCTAGCTGGACATGTCCTTATAAGGAAATAGGAAGTTTTTAAATTAAATTCTTATTATTTTTATATTAATTACAATGTATTTACTTTATTTCCCAGCTGTAGCCCCCTCTCTTATTCCCTCCCAATCTCACCTTTTCTCCCTCCCTCATCTCCTTTCTGTCCCTCTCTTAGTCCACTGATGGGGGAGGTCCTCCTCACCTTCCATCTGATCCTAGCTTATCAGGTCTCTTCAGGACTGGCTACAATGTCCTCCTCTGTGGCCTAGAAAGGCTGCTCCTCCCTGGCCGGGGGTCAAAGAACCAGCCATTGAGTTCATGTCAGAGACAGTCCCTGTTCCAATAACCCACTTGGATACTGAGCTGCAAAAAGGAGGACCCAGGGTAAAATGATCAATCTTCACTTAGAAAGACAAATGGGATGGACCTTGGAAATAGGAGAAAACAAGTAACAGGACAGGACCCTACCACAGAGGGCCTCTGAAAGCCCCTACCTAGCAGTGTATCAAAGCAGATGCTGAGACTTATAACCAAACCTTGGGCAGAGTGCAGGGAATCATATGAAAGAAGGTGGAGTTAATATGACCTGGAGAGGACAGGAGCTCCACAAGGACCAAATATATCTGGGCACAGGGGTCTTTACTGAGACTGTTTCTCCAACCAAGGACCATGAATAGATATAACCTAGAACCCAGATGCAGCCCATTGGAAATAGGAAGTTTTAACCTGAAAGCTGGCCAGCAGGCTACATGACTACCTCACAGAGGGCAGAGGTGGCTACATGCACCAGGGAATGTAGGCCCAGAAGAGGCAGAGAACAATTCTTTCTCCTGCTGGTCTCAAGATGAGATTTGCAGGGTTTGGACACGTCTTGACCTCACTCTTGCTCTAGGCTGGTTCCCTCAGTCCCATGGCTCACCTGCTCCACAGTGTAGCAAACCAAACAGAATGTAGTCTTCGGGGCAGATTACAGTTGTCACCTTTAACCCTGCATTTCAAATTTCACAGTAACGCTAATGATCATGGACTGAAGTTTGAAGAAATGTCCTAAATTTGAGTGTTACATGACTGGAAAATGTTATTTATTTGATGTTTTGAAATACCACTTAGCGGTGCATTAAAAAACAATAAGGTCTTCATTATTTAGGTTACCTCTAAATCCACTTCTTAGTTGTACTCAGCATTCTGTGGATAATTGACATGGCCGGAGTACACAGTATTCCCTCTTCAGCCTAATGGTACATTAATATGCCTGGAACCTCTACTATGGTAATGACAAGCTCGTGCCGAACGATAACAGATATTGAACAAAATATTAACATATGCTCATTATAGTTAAATAGCTTTTCCAGACTTTTAAAAATGAGCAGCAAGAGATTTTATATAGGTGTGTGTGTGTGTGTGTGTGTGTGTTGGCCAGCCACTTGCACCAAGATGCTTCAGTAGCTGGCAGACCACATTCCACAATGGAGTCCACAGAATCAAGTCACCTCACACCATAGCCATCTTTATTTAGGGATTCTTTATGCCTTGACAACACTGACTGACAAGCTACTTTTTTGTTCTGTGAGGTGGGACTGTGCAGCAGTACAATGGCTTGTTACTCACCACGAGAGAGGAAGGAAAGGCCAGTTCACACTGCAGCTTGAATGAGTGTTGGCGACACATGCTAAATGAAAGAAGCCGGTCCCGTGCCCATTGGTTACATGACTCTGTACGTGGGAGAACATAGAGTAGGACATTGATGAGGCAGAGACAGATGTCCTGAGCTAGGGTGGAGGGTGGGGAGTGCCTGGTAGCTAACAGGTTTGTAGTGCCTTTTTGAGAAGATGAGCATGTTCTGGGATTGACGGTGGAGACAGCTGCATGTGTGGCGTGTCCCAGCCGCCTCCTGGCTTGTGTACTTTAAAAGTGTCTCAGTGAAGCAGTTGTTCACACCTGGGCTGGCGTAATTCCCGCACGAAAGGATACATCTTCCTTCCTGTATTCGCTGTGGACCCCGGAGCATATTAATCCCAAATAGATACTTCCTCCCATCCTCCTTCCTTTCCATCACCCAGACATTCTATAGTCATTGATTAGGGACTATGTCAGCTGCCTTCTGCTGCTTGCCACCTTTGGATGCATTTTACATATAAGCATCACCGATCTGGCACCTTCCAGTGGTTACAAAATTTGTGTTTTCAGAAGGTTAAAGTTCTTCCTGAGGCACGTAATCCTTTCAGGGCTTAGGTTTCATATGCATGTGCAGTGTTGTTTTATTCTGATGTTACCATAATGGACAGTGAGTCAGATGTGGTAAATGCCTGAGAAGCCTGTCTAGCACCTCACTCTCCTACACTTAGAACGGAGTAGGAAAGAGAGAAAACGTAGGCATCTTATCAAATGAAACCAGTTCTTTTACAACAGCTATTCAGACTAACCGCTCAGCTGGGAATGCAAACTCCAGCACAGACTCTGGAACGCCTAAACTGGGCTGTCTGTTAAAATCTGCCATGACCAGTTCCTTCCCTGTTAACAATGTTGGGAAGCAAATAGTGTCTGCCTGGAAGTTAACTGGAAGAGAGAGAGTGTGGGTGTGTGGGTATGTCTGTGTGTGCCTCTGTGCATGTGCTGGGGAGGTGGGCTGAATGTATGTGTATGTATGTGTGTCTGAACATGTGTGTCTGTGTGTGCCTATGTATGTATCTATATCTGCCTATGTATGTGTGTATATGCTTGTGAGGGTAGGGGCTATATGTGTGTGTGTGTGTATGTGGGGGGGGTGTGGGTGTCAGTAATAATTAAAGAGGAAGCATCAACAATTTGAGAGGGAATGGGAGTGGAACTGGAAAGTTGAGGTGAGGAGGAGTGGAAATGATATAAACAAAGTCTCGTGTACAAAATTCCCAAAACAAAATTTAATAAAAACAAACCAGAAAGTTGGGTTGTTAAAGTGTTCAACCTCAGAAATAGTTAGTTTTAGTTGCTTCCTTCTTGTTTGTTTTTTAAAGTCTGTGGGGTGGCTGTTTTAAATCTATATGGTGTGTACAGGTTTTCGGCGAATAGGGGCACCAGATATCTATGAGGCTGTAGCTACAAGGTGTTATAAACTGTGCAACCTGGGCGCTGGGGACCGAACTCTTGTCCTCTGTAGGAATAGCATGCACTCCTATCCACAGAGCCAGCTCTTCAGCCCTTGCTCGGTCTGTAAAGTGAATTTTGTTACAGCTGACTTTGAGGCAGTGTTCACGGAGTGGCCAGTGAGACACTGAAGTTAGCACCTAATCTGCTTGATGGTTTTTAGCCCTCTGGAGTGTGCGCACACACACCTTTATCCCGTGGTCGTGAACAGAGGGAAGGACAGCGTTGGGCAGCCATGCTGTTGCAGAGGGCACCATCTTCCTACAAGTCGGAGTTTGGGAAGCTCCTGCTTTAGGGCTCAGGAGGAATTAGAGGCTGTGGGGTCAGCTGGGGTTAAAGCAGCAGCATTCCAGATCTGCTTAGGGAGCAGCCAGGTGGATGAATGATTAACCCAGTCAGTAAATTATTCAGTGAACAGGATAGGAGGGCTTGGGGGGGGGGGGGGCTCGAAGGAGCCGCTGTTCAGACTGAACCTGAGAAGTGGCTACATTGCCTGAGCTGATTTGTTTTGCAGTTGTACCTGTAGACTCGGTGCTGCCCCAATTCAGTTTTAGAGACACACAAAAGCATGTAGATATGTAATAATATGTGACGTAAGGGTATGCCTTTCACGTTTGCATCCACAGATACATTTAACCACACAAGATGTGGAGGGGAAAACATGTGAATCTTTGTGGGAAGAAAGTAAATGTGAGAATGAGCGTGCGCGCGCACACAAACACACACACACACACACACACACACACACACACACACACACAGAGACACGGGATGGGGATGGGGTTTGGTACTGTTTTCTGGAGGGGCTGAGGCAGGCAGAGGTGCTGAGTCAGGCAGGAGTTGTGAGGTCAGAAGCCCAGAAAGGGGCTTCCCGGGGCAGCAAGGCATCTTTCCTCCCTCCCTCCGACATGATGCCCCTGCACCTGCTTCTCTTGGACCCGCAGTCGCTGGAGGCGGTGGCAGCAGCCACAGCTGTGACCAGGCAACAGCGGCAGCCCTGCCAGCTCCCGCCCAGCTCTCATTGAGAAAAGGGAACGGAGCAGGAGGGGGAGGAGAGCTCCCTGCAAAGCCGCCTCAGAGCAGCCAAGGAGACTCTGGGAATGGGCACAGGACTCTTCTGACGTGGTGGCTCCGCGGGAGCTGGAAGACAGAAGGGGAAAGGGAAAAGCCTGCGGAGAGTATCAAAGGCTGAGGGGAGCCATAAAAGGAGCTGGGGAGTCCTTTGCGAGGAATTATCTGTCGTGCGCTGGAATGCTTTCTGGAGAAGGTGCCAAGGCTTTCTTCCCCTTTCTCCCAGATGAAAGGAGCCAGCCAGGACTGTCCTGAAGTACTCCCGAGGGGCCTCTTTGTCATTGTTCCTCCTTCCCTGCGCAGGGCTCTTTGCTGACCTTTCTAGAGGACTTTCTGTCCAGCTGAGAAGACACTTCCTAATAAACGAAACAGTTCCTGCCCGTGGAGGTAGTCACGGCTTGCTTGCTGCAGTTCTTCTCCTGTGACATTTTGGAATGTCTGCAGAAACTTAAAAACAAAACAACAACAACAAACAAACAGCAGCAACAACAACAACAACAAAAATTCCTCAAAACTCCCTGAAATAGGCAAAAGAAAAAAAGGAGGGGGGGTATTTTGTTTTGTTTCTTACCAAAGAGGAGTAAATGAGAGGTTATCTGAACTTGGGACTTGGGTGATCAGAACCCCGGGAGTTCTAGGAATCACCACTCCAGACCTGGCACATAAACAAACATGAGGAGCAGCTGTGTGGGCCGCCACACAGAGGCAGGTTTAAAGGAAGCCTGAGCCGGTGTCACAACTTGGGGCCTGTATGATGCCTGAAGACCGAAATTCGGGGGGACGCCCCTCCGGTGCCTTACCCTCAGCTCCTTTCATCCCCAAAACTACATACAGAAGAATCAAACGGTGCTTTAGTTTCCGGAAAGGTCGGTAGATGCTATCCTAATGTCCTTCTAATGACTGTCTGATGAATGTCGCTCCATTGGTGGGAGGTTTCTGGTGGCTTAGGCTCAGACAGAATGGAGGTTTTGGAAATGGAGGGTTTAACACTGTGCTTGTCTGCACTGATTTTTCAAGGCTCCTATTGATCTGTGTATAGCTGTCTCCGAGGGTAGGTGGGGCTTAGGAGCAGTGGTCCTCTGAGGATTACCTTGACTGACAGGGAACTGAGCAAGTTTGAAAGGAGGGGCCAGAGTTCTCTGAGCCCCTCTCCACATGGAGATCCAGTATCCTTGTTCTGACCCTGACACTTGCAACTGCTTTTCTGAGCCCCATCCCTGTGGTTTTCCAAATGGAGGCTTGGGCAGCCTCTCTACCCTACCTGGGAAATTTTGAGAATCAGGTTCTCTGTGGTGGCGCCTGAGCCTCTCCACACTGGCTAGACATAGGATTCACCTTGACTTTCCATGTATATTATTGGGAAAGGACAAACAGGAGGTGGGGGATACCATGACTGATAGTCAACAATACAAACGAAGGCATGTCTAAATTGAATTGTTTTCAGGGAAGTAAAGGGCATGGCATTGGCGAATTAGATGTTTTCGGAAAAGGGTAATGTGTGAACTTTTTAATCCCCTTTGCCTTAAAGTGACAGTGATACAGCAGCAGAGCTGCTCAAATAGAAAGTGAGTAATTATGAACCTACTGTGCCTGAGTGAGCCAGCGGCTGAGCTGCATGACATGGAGGGCGGTTAACTTCCTCCCGATACGGTGGGAGCAGTGCAGAGCTATGGCCGAGGTCCCATGTTCCCGTGTTCACTCATGCTCTGGCTTTCCCTGTGAAGAGATGAGATGGGAAGTACACGATGTGAGCTCCCACATATTATAGATCTGTGAGCAGTCCGTGGCAGCTGCCAGATGACAGCACTGATAGAGAAATTAACAGAGACAGAAATTGAGAAAGGCTCAGAGACCCCTCTTTAAAGGGCATGTCCCTCTCCTTAGAGCTCCCCGGCCTTTTGGAAGCCGCTTGAGATATTCGAGGTACATTTTCCACCATTCCTACCTCCAGTGCTGGAAATATACAGCAGAAGTGTGGGAGCACCAGCACAGCACCTCCTGTGCGCCTTCGCTTTTCCCTCTTTTTCCTTAAATACAAAGGGAAAGGCAGCCCTGAAAACGTCCCCCTCCAGGATGTCACAGGCAGACTTTCCGGTGACTATTTTACAGTTGGCTTTTCCTCATAAAGCCTTACTGGTCTGGGGGATGTTCAGTATTTGAGTCAAGGACTGAGAGATACCTCATTTACAAAACGCTGTTCTCTGCTTTCTGTTGGAGCAGGAGGGGGGGAGGCAAAGGAAGCACACAGCCCCTCCCTTGAGTTCTGCAGCGGGGGCCCGGGGAGGAAGGTCCCCAGCTGCTGAAGCTGCACTGCTTCATCTGTCGCCACCGCATCATTGCATAAAGTGCAGGGACCACACGCCTCTAAAGTTTGCTCTTAAGCAAAGCGTGGGTTTGTGCTTTCCTGACTGTGCTGCTCAAGTGTTTCCCACAGGGGACCCCTGTTTCCGGGCCCCTCCCACATCCACTTGTCATTTCTGTAAAGGAGTGGGCCGAGTGTGTGAGGCTCAGAGAGCACCCAGATGAAACAACAACAACAACAACAACGCGTTGAGATGGCTGTCTTCCCTGTCACCAAGGGTAGACCCTGAGAAAAGAGGCTGGCTGGATCTCAGCAGCTTTCGAAACCCTGCCGGAATGAAGGATGGAGTAGCGACATTTCCAGGTGCCAGGCCCTGCAGCCACTTCTCTGAGGGTTTTTCCTCAGACCTGTTCTGGCCTTCACTGCCCTCTCAGCTCCCTTTCTTTCCTTGAGCACTAATTAAGGTCACCGCACATGTTTCCTCCCTGGGTTTCTAAAAGCCTAGGAACTAAGAGGCATTTAGGCAGGAAGTTGGGGATTGTGGCAATCTGGGTTTGTACATTGGTAAAAGAAAGATTATAATGTAGTTTTTAACCTGTTTATTTTTAACTTTAGAATGTCATCACTACGGTAAGCTTAGTATTAAGAACTATTTTTTCCCCCATGATTAGAAACTAAAGGAACATTTTAACTACTAACTTTTAAGTTACCAGCAGCTATTCATACACTGTAGCACATTATAGGTAACCAATTAGAACTTGGGGGGTCTGCCCTGGGCACCTTGAGCCCTACCTTAAGTCTCCACACTTTTCTTGCCCCGGCCTGCAATTTCTCTGCACTGAGTAGTTGCTCTTTGCAGTGACAGTCATCCCTGTCTGTCACATTCTTCATAAATTCCAACACCACAGTCCACTCTATGAGCCATGGCCTCATCTCTCTTTCTTTAACACACCCTCAAGCCTTATTGCACATGTCAGAACTCTTTTATGAGCCTATACTGCTCACAAAGAAAAATCCTACTTTGTATAACTATCAGAACACTGATAACTCCCACCAGTTACCTAGAGATAGCCCCCCAATTTCCCAGACTAACCCATTTCTTCCCACTAAACATACATTCTACATCACTTCTTGTTTTCCCCCCACTTTGTGCCCTCCTCCATGATGCTCTCTCCCCCATCCAATTTTTTTTCTGAATATTTATTTTTTGTATTTTTTTTTACAATTTATTCATTATATATTCTGAACTGAAGCCCCTCCCTCAACTTCCCCCAGCCTCACCTTCCCTCCTACTTCTCCCCATCCTCCTCCCCTTCCCCTAGTCCACTGGAAGGAGGAGTTCCCCTCCCCTGCCATCTGCCCATAGCTTATCAAGTTTCATATGGACTGCCTGGATCCTCTTCCTCTGTGGCCTGGTAAAGCTGTATCACCAGGGGCAAGTGATCTGAGAGCAGGCAATCTGAGTTCATGACAGAGGCAGCCTCTGCTCCCCTACTCGGAGACCCACATGGAGACTGAGCTACCAATTGGCTACATCTGAGCAGGGGGTCTAGGTCCTCTCCATACATGTTCCTTGATTGGTGTATCAGTCTCTGCAGGAACTCCTGGGCTCCGGTTTTTTAGCTTTGTTGGTCTCCTTCTGGGGCTCCTGTCCCCTTTGTGTCCTTCTATTCTCCCCCTTCTTCTGTAAGACTCTCTGCACTCTGCTCAAAGTTTGGCTGTTAGCCTCAGGATCTGCTGCAAGCCTCTGTTGGGTGGAATCTTTCAGAGGACCCTCTATAGTAGGCTCCATCCAAATTTTACCTAGTTCAAGACATGGATGGCTCTCACCTCATACTTCTCACTGCCAGCTGGTGTTTCAGAGCCCCCTTAAGCAGAGCATATGGAGTACACAGAGCCATTGCTTTTTACCTCTGCCCCAAGGGAAGTATAGTGAGAGGTCTATTCAGTAAATATTCAAAATGAGTTGTGAACTGGTTAAGTGGTTGTTGATAACCTGGTATTTGTAAACACTTGGAACACTAAAGTGTTTTCTGTATTCTCCTGCTAGTCTGTAAGCAATTTGAATTAAAATACAATGACTTCACATTTACGGAGATACAGCCAAAATTATCTTCAGAGAAATGAATGTTGTTTATGTTATAATCATGGTTTTGGAAATTGATTTGTCCAATCAAAATACTATTGTCCAAACACATCTAACTTTAAACTGGGTCAGTTGAAAACGAGTGGCATTTGGGAGTCTCCACCCAGTGAGGCGGGAGATGGGAGGAAGACAGAATGGGTGCTTCAGGTTACGGCTTTGTAGACTCCTTGGGGACAGAGAAATCAACGAACTGCCAACTCAGATAGGTACTGTACTAAGTCTTGAATGGAGCCTCAGGTGCTTGTGAACAAAAGGCTGGCTTTTTGGCTCACCTCGACAGACAGAGAACTACTCAACCTAGGTGGATTTGAGTTTTCCTCTCTCCGATCCTAAGAGAGAGTCTTCAGCAATCTCCCGAAAACACCAGAGTTGTGTTAGTGTAATAGACTGGCAAAAAGGCTCTCAGAATCGTCTGTACCTGCACTTGAAATGGACACAGGCATCTTTTTAAGTGTGTGGCCTGAAACAGGTACATGCAACCATCTGGCTTGCTTCCTGGATGTAAATGATGATGTCCATAATTGCTGATCTGAGGCGAGGCCATTGTGCCGGTGTGCTCACTGAGAACACTTTCCTTATTTTTCCAAGTTTTATTTCCTCCTTCCATCCTCATTCTGACATACAATTGTACCCACTGTTACATGCTATGAATCTTAGCTCTTAGATTTGAAGTTCCCTGTGAGAGATTTTTGCACTAGGAAGCTGGTGACAGACAGAAGCAAGCCTCAGCTGGCTGCCTTTGTTCTGTACTAAAATACCCATCTTTTATTTTGACTTTTCCATTTATGAAGGGTGGGTGTTTATTGATAGTTTTCACAGTCCTGATTATACCAGAATTTGTCTGCTAGTCAGCAGAGGAACCAGAAAAAAATAAGATTTTTTTTTTTTCTCTTTGCTGCGCATGTGATCTGGCGACCAGATGGGACAGAAACTCTGCAATGAGCAATGACAAAAACCTGCAGCAACAATTAGGAAGTTTGATTTATTGCATCAGAAAACAAGGACTATTTTACTTTTATGGAAATTAATAGCACACATGGTTTCATTTTATGGAATTATTCGTTTGTTTTGTCTAATTGAGAAGTTGACATGTTTTGGTTTTATGCATGCATAGCTCATTCTGCGAATGTTTGTGGAGGACTTTTGCCTCATCCGTGTTGACATTACGCTCCAGGCATCTGAGGTGGCAGATGTCCAGTGGGGACGATTGTGTATGTGCTGAACATCACAAATTTGCAACCCTCAAATCTGAAATGTTTTAGTGGTGACATGATTCCACAGTAGAAGCTTCTATTCCGTTGAACTTCCCGAAGCACCAAATTATTTAAAATACTGCATAAAGTGAACCTCTGCTTATGTGTGCAGATATATTGGAACTATATATATATACTGGCGAACTCTATGTCTGACGTTGGGAC